TTCTGAACCTTCCAGGCAAACAGCTTCTCTCTTTCCTGACCAAGTTATTTAAATACAGAATATTGCAGTGCTTATTCTTTGTTTCAATTGGTAGCAGGATAAATGGTACTACAGACTGTATACTTCACATGTCTTAGGCACTAACTTACAGTTGCTCATGGGCAGCAAAACACCAAGGACAGCAAAATTATGATTTAATCTAGGAAAATCCACCAGCCTCATTTAGCACACTGCTGTATCAACCCACATGATCTTAGGAGGATGCACTTTTGCCAGAACTTTCACACAGGGACAAAACGAAACTCAGCTCCCACTTTCTTCTGTCTTAGAAAGGATTAATGAATATGAATTTGCTCCAATCTGATATCTTAACAGCTTGCAGAACACACACTTTGGAGACTCTTAACTTAAATAATTGAGCCATTGATTATTTCGGGAGCATAAATTAAGCCCCCCAGTTTAATCTTATTTAAAACTGAGAAATTATAACACAAAGGAGATTTCCAGGTAATTTCTCATTTTCTTCCTTCAAATTACCTCCTCCTACAAATCTTTCTCTCTGCAGAGAAGTATTTTTTAAATGACTAGACCCAGCCTTTCTTTAATTGTTAATAGGAACACTTCCAAATTTGCCTCCTGTTCAACCTTTCTGATTTGATAGCAAAATCAAAATCCCTGGAAGAAATAAAAGTGTTTGGGACTCCTCGGTGGCTTTCTGTTTTTTTTTTTTTTTTTTAAGTGAGTTAAGGAAGAGTCTTAGAGATGAAATGTCTTTTGGGCAATACCAGCTTAGGTCTTTTGTCTGCACTTTCACTTTTCAGAGCACTTAAAGATTTCAAAGTGCACATGAGGGTCATTTGGTGCAAGAATAGGCTTTTAAGCAATCTAGGGCTGTTTAGTTGTCTCTAGGTAGCATTTACATATTAACATCCCAACCTACACTGTGGAAACATAAGTGTTCTCAAAACACTCAGGGAGCATCATACAACATGACACACACGTACTGTCCTTTCCAACATTCCAACTGTTTTGGTTTGTGAGATAGCTTGCATTGAGATGGAGACTATGAGTTAATCATAGGAGATGTGAGATAGATGCTCACAGCTCACTGGCAGTAGGAATCTACTCATCTGTCAAATGAGTCATGAACACAAATCCATGACAAGAAATCTGGCAGTAAAGGCTGATAAGCACCAAGACGGCTGTCATTTCAAGAAGACAAAACTGAGGCAGAGAGAGGCTGCCCAATTTGTTGGAGATGCCCAAGATGCAGTTAGCAGGTAGTCTGGCTTCAGAAGCTGTGGTTTTAAAGCTAAAAGGCAGCAGTCATAACAGAACAAGATTGAGTTTCTGAGGTAAAATCATGAGGACCCTGTGAAAATTCAAAACCTCTTTAGCAAAAGTCTAAGCTTTAGGGAATTTCCAGGCAGATTCATGTTCTCCAAGAACAAAACAAAATAAAAATCTGTTTTTTTTTTTCTGGAGAAAACGAAACTCATCAAGAAAAAAAAATGAAAACTGACAGAACATGTCTCATTTGTCAAATTCTGGCTTCTGACCTTACTCACTAAACTTGCAAGAGGCTGTTTAGAACCTTTCATTTTATTTATTTTTATTTTTTATTTTTTTGGTAGAAAAGTTTATTAGTCTGTACTCCATTTCTCCAACAAAATACCCATGCTTTTACAAAGAAAAAAGGAAAAGGCATTGTTTATCTCACAGTTTTAAAATCCAAAAGTCTGAACAGCATGGCTCCACCTTCAGCAAGACCCCATCCAGCTGTGTCTTTCACATTAGTACAGATGGAATTATGAAGAGAAGAGAGGCGAGAGGGAATAATTACATAACAAAACAGGGGAACTCCTGGAGGGGCTGGAAACTCTGTTAATCCTTTCTTGGGGTGCACCCTCAAAGATCTAACCACCTCCCCTTGGGATCTTCCTTTTACTTCTTCACATTCCACATTTATGAGAGTGAGTGAGCTCCCAATACGTGTGCCTTTGGTCAACAGACTTTAAACACATCCTAAACAAAGTAGCAAGGATTCAAGGAAGACCAGACAACTGAGTAGAACACTAAACATGAGAGCGATCAAATTGAACAATTCAAAGAAAGGAATTCAGAGAGGGCAGAGGAAATGCAAGGAGTACACAAAGCTTCAAAGGCTATGGTATCAGTATACTAGGAGGTGAGAAAAGAGGCTGGAAAGAGGTTTTGAAAGAAATGAAAAAGAAAATTTGAACCAAAATATACATCTATGAGAGGAGAACAGGACATCATTTAATAAAATAATAATAAATACAAAAACATACAAGAAACATAGTAGACTGTTTGGCATGGCAGTTACAAACTTGAGCTGTAAGAGCTGAACTATGAAGTCAGTTAAGACTTGGAAAGATTGAGTAAATGAATTTCCATACATTGTATTTAAAAAAGACAAACACAGTAATAATGAGAGAGAAGGAGTTAAGAAAGAGCAGCGGTTTATCAAAGAACAGATTCTAGAAGGTAAGCCATGTTAAAGAGTGGAGAAGTTATTGATTTATGGAGTTTAAGAACAGGCAACAATCAGCCTTTAAAAAGGATAAATCCTAGGAGACTGTAAGTTCTTTCTGGATCATGCTACACTAGGAAATTTTAGACTACTAATAGAAATGCCAAAGATTTCCAGAAAAATAGAACAGAAAACACATACACACAGCAAACTAATTAGGATTTATAGAATTCCCATGGGACAGTACCACATTCTAGAGGGTAATGAGCAAGGCACCAAGATTCTGAGAAACTATGTTTTGTTTCAAAATTCCATGCACAGCTTCAAGAGTGTAGATGAGTGTCTCTCAAAGTATTCTTCTCAGATACCCAGTGCTTGGGTGACACTACTGGAAAGTTCTGGAACCATAAAAATCTGGACAACAGTAGGAAGAAATTGGGTCAATGGAATAGAACTCTCACAGGCTTCACTTTGCTTTCTGACTGACAGAAAGTGAGCAACTTCCTCCCTTCTACCCTTCGACCATAATGTACTGTTGTGCTATAGGCTCAAAGGCATGGAGAAGAAGCACACAGAGACTGAGATGTCTGAAACCATGAGCCAAAATAAACCTTTCTTTTTTATACAGTAAATCATCTGAGGTGTTCGCTGTATAGTAGAACTAACACAATAGCCTATATGAACCAAGGGAAGATACTACATAAAGTCATTTTCAGTCACACAACTTCCTTTCAGATTCCTCCATACTAAGCCACTCAGGAGCATGGTCCTAAATCCAAGGACCTGGAATCCAGGTAGAAAGGAAAAGAGCTCTGGATTCACACAACCTGAGTTAGTAGAATGTTCCAGAGGTTTCCATGGAAACAGGACAATATAGATGAGTGTTTTTACTGTGCTTGAAAATGAAAGTTATTGCTAATTGTGTGAAAAATTTCAAGGAACCCTGGGCAGGGCAAGGAATTGCAATAGTATATGGAAAAATTAAACTCGTAGAACTTCCTTAAAATGGGTTGTAAGAGAAATCAAGGTTACCACAGTATTCTGCTTGGCCCAGCAAGGTTCAGTGCAATGGTAATATAAATACTGCTAACTATTTTAACTGAAGACACTGATTATGAAGGAAACATGCATGTAAAAGCTACCTCTAGATGAGACTGAAAAAAAAATTAAAAATAGGCTTATAGTTATTTTCAGCAATGAAGCCGAAAGTTGGAAATGGTTGCTTTGGTTAGAACCTACAAATTAGAGCATGAAAAATGCCTTCATTGCCTCATATTTACAAAACAACAGATAGGTATGCATTCAAAACTTGAGCTCATGAAAATACAGTGTCTCCCCAGGGTATCACAGATACCCTGTTAATGTTGACAGTATCTGTTAATACTGGGGTTTACGTTCACATTGTTGCTAGGAAGTTATCGTGAGTATCATGCCCACTTGACTTCAGTCACTTTGGTGAGTACCCTTGTTATAATGTTTATGCATGCACTACTGTGCTGGATTTCCAGGGAGGCATTGAGCGAAATGACACTGCCCAGTCAGGCTCTTCATTTTGGTAAAGACGAAGTGCTTCTGAAAACACTGACAAATGTTGATGCTGCAAACCATGTTGTGTACAAACAATAGTAATATCGAGTGTCTTCTACAGTTTTGTTTTATTTTTTTCACATGGTTTTGCTGCATTAGCTAATGCTTTCTGGAGAAAACCATTAGCCGTAGTGGAAATAGAGGCTGTGCTGACACTGCTCCTAAATTTAATGGAATATTTATTTGTTGTCCTGTCCTCTGAGAATATGGAGGGAAGCACAGATGTTTCATTTAGTCTTCTTTATGAGGAAAAAGCAACTTTGTTCTATAAAGCATTCTAATTAAGAATATATTTTCAGTTGAATTTAAGTTTTTTTTTTTACTGAAATATTCTCCTTGCTCAATATACATAATTTTTGCCATTTAAGTACATATCAAATGATTTTAGATTGTTATTAATTTTAGATTACTATTTTGTAAGCAGAGATTACTATTTGTAAGCATATTTACTATAAATCTATAAATTTTTAAAAAGATTTCTGCGTGTACATGTGTGTTTGTGGCAGGGGATGTACATGTGAGTGCTGCTGACGGCCAAGGCCAGAAGAGAGTGATGAATCCCTCAGGATGGAGTTACAGGTGCTTATTCGCTGCCTTATTGAATGTTGGGAGCCAAATCCAGGTCCCCTAGAAGAGTAGTATGCAGCCTTAACTGCTGGACTCTCTCTCTAGCTCCAAATTTATGAAATTTTAGAACCAGAATCTGAACAGTGAGTTTGTCAAGTGTGCTATACAAAGATTCTGTACAGGTCTTCAGCTTTTCTTACCTGTCGAATACAAGAAACCATTTTCGTGATTCATTCAAGGATGTCTCTTAAATAAACAAAACACTCTCCTTCAAGCACAACAGTGAAGAAACATGTGAGGCTCAATCCCTTCCACACCTTTGAGTCCGATGTGCTTTTGTCTCCCTTCCCAGGGGCACTGCAATTGCTGGCATCGTGTTTGGAATTGTGTTCATCATGGGGGTCATTGCAGGGATTGCCATATGCATCTGCATGTGCATGAAGAATAACCGGGGGACCCGGGTGGGTGTCATCAGAGCAGCCCACATCAACGCCATCTCCTCTTACCCGGGTAAGCAACAAGGCTTGTTTTTGAAGGGCAAAACGGGTTTCTCAGGCTCTACTCCTTCAAGAAGTATTGAAAGACTCACTGAAATAATCTTAAATTTTCTTGGGTACTCCCAAACAAGTATAGATCGAAGCTGTAGCTTTGAACAGACATCTTGGTGAAAAGAAACAATTCATCTTATCTTTAAATATAGTCATACTCTCAATGGTGTCATTAACTGCAATCTCCAGTCAGCCAGAATTAAGATAAATAGACAGTTCACACCCACTGTGTCTACCTGCCAATGAGTTCTGACAAGTAATTATGGAGAAAATGCACGATCTGTCTCAATAAACTGGTATCTAAGGCAGTAGGTACAAATGTCTCTAGGAAAAGTAGTGGAGAAAGTTTTTAGCGTCCTCACTAAACATGAAGTACAGTTTCGAAATAATAAAGTTCTCAATAAAGAGCAAAGATGATACGTTAATAATTCAACAAATACATGTCGAGAATCTTCTAGAAGTTCTATATAAGTATATTGAGCGCAAGAGATTCTATACACAAAGTCTTTCATCTTGTATTAGAAAATCAGATTCAGGTTTTCTATGTCACTTTGTATATGTGCCATACAACATATAAAAGGTGAGCAGTTTTATGAACTCACTGCAACTGTAGTTTCATGTTCAAATTCTGACATAGATGGCTAGATGATCTCCATGCACCATCCCTTACTGAAGAGCAATTGAGAGTCGGGAGATAGGGAGAATCATTCCTCTGTGAGGATATGGATACTTCCAGGTTTCCCATGTCCATATACATTTGGATAGTACTAGCTGAAGTTTAGTGGGTATGGCTGCTTGAATGAAAATGACTCCAATAGGCTCATGGGGGGCAGATCTATTAGGAGGTGTGGCCTTGTGGGAGTATGTGTGGCCTTGTTGTAGGAAGTGTGTCACTACCTATGGAGGTGGTGGTGTATGCCTTTAATCCCAGGACTTGGTAAGCATAGACAGGTGAATCTCTGTGAGGTAGAAGCTAGCCTGGTCTACAAAGTGGCTCCCAAGCTACACAGAGAAACCCTGTCTCGAACCCCACCCCAAAATATATAAATAAAAAAATTAAAAGTGGATGATGGGCTATATCATGCTTCTGTACTCAGAATCTTCCAATGGCACCTTATTTCCCCTACAGAAAACCCAAAGCCAGTGGTTTCTCATCTTACCCAATGCAAAAGACAAATGCTTCTTTTTGAGAGCCCAAAGCACTTGGAGAATTATCCTTTCCCTTATGCAGTTCTCACTTCTTACCACTTTGGCTCCATCAGTCTGTCCCTTGTGGTTCTGTTAACACAAAGGAGAGCTCTTATCTCAGGGTTTGCCTAAAATTTAGCCTTGCTCACTTCATTCAAGACTTAAAAGTCAATTGGCTCCCTCTCACCCCAGGACTCTTCCTTTTTCTGATCCACTTTTTCCCCGTGGTGGTTTTCATCTTATAAGAGACCATATATGTTCCTACTGATTATCGATCTCCTTCTATTGGTCAGGAATCTTAGTCTATTTTCTTTTATGTCTCTGTTCCAAACATGTGAAACAAGACTTGACCCATAGTGATGACTCGGTGAACCTGACTGGTGAATTAACACAACTCACAAGACTTGATTTTGTCATTTGTCAATATCTAGGAAGCTGTCCTAAAGTTCTGCCTAGGATTATATAGGTTTTACTCACTAAAAAACAATTTGTGAGTTTCGATTTTCCTATTTTTCTGATAATATTGTTGTGGATAGTATAAAGGCATGAATACTAAACAAACTATAGATGAAACTATGTTTTATTCATCATTCCACCAATGCCCACCTCCCCATGGCAATATATAATCTAAGAAAACAAAGGAAAGTCAAACAGAGACATTAATTGGAGAGAAGGCAGGAACTATTTTGCAGGTAGACATTTTAGGTACACATTTGCTTGATCAAAAAAAAAGGAAGACAAGGTTTAATTAAAGTTAATTTTAAAACAGTGTCTTATTCAGTGTTCTATTGCTGTGAAGAGACACCATGACGATGGCAACTCTTATAAAAGAAAGTATTTAATTGGGGTTTACTTACACTTTCAGAGACTTGGCACATTATCCACATGGCAGGGGAGCATGGCAACATGCAGGCAGATATGGTGCTGGAAAAGTAGCTGTAGTTATTTCATGGAATTTTGTATTTTGTGTTTCTGAAAATTGAAACTATAAATATAACTAAGATTTTAAAATTTTTATCTATGTGCATGTGTGTAGATGGAGTGTTAAATGGCCAGGTACCACAAAGGGCAGAGGCACTGGATTCCTGGGGAGCCTCCTGACATGGGTGCTGGGATTCCAATGTGGATCTTCTTAAAGAACAGTATGCACTCATAACCACTGAGCCATCTCTCCAGCACCAACATTCGAAGATTTTAAAATGTCACTTTAGTGGAAAGGCATGTGTTTTTTGCCTGAGGTTTGAGCCATCTATTTTGTGCTCCACTTATACTGGAGAATCAGTTCCTTTGCATGTCCTCCTCTGAGGATAATACAACTCCATGCATGTAATAACACTCTATCTGGAGCTCATGTCTTGAACCTTAGTTTGAGAAGGTATCTAAGTATCTAGCAATCTCAAGTTGGACAACATTCTTGTTAAGTTGTTGGGGGGTGAAGCAATCAAGTTTTTGAGTAGAGTGAATCAGAGTTGTTTCAGGATGTTTTTGTTTGTTTTTTAATTGGGGTTTCTGCAAAGCATTGTTTGCAGGGACCATACATTCCTTGAGAAAAAAATTTTTGTATCTCAAACCCACTATGATTGGTTAGTTAACAGTGGTATGCCAGCTGGAAGATGTTGAAGACAAGAGATGCTGATCGCAGTTGTCTTCCAGTCTCCCGAAATATTCTATGGTTTGGTATTTTTTTAATAGGTGTGACTGCAGTCTTCTCACTGTTTCACAACTCCAGAGAGTCTGAGCTTTACTCTTTGTTATCTGCATTTTTTTCCTGCTCCATGAAACAGCCAGCCTATAGCCTTTAAAATCCCCCACCATCACTGAGATATCAACACTATGTGCTGGAGTGATGGCTCAGGAGTTAAGAGCACTGGCTGCTCTTCCAGGGAACCTGAGTTCAATCTCTAAAACCCACATGGCAGATCACAACCCCCTGTAACTCCAGTTCCTGGTGAACAGACACCTCACTTAGAGGCAGTGCATTTGGTGGTTGGATATGACAATCTTTTCTTCAGTTTGCTCCTATTTTCTCAGTGAAATAAGAACCTAGTCTTTTTCTGAGGGTAAAGCAGGATAAGAGTACACTTGAGGTGAAAGAGAATGTGGAAAGCATGAAACCCATCTCTTAAAGTGGGATGTATGAAATGCCTAGCATGATATGTGCTTTCTAAGCAACACCAGTGGCCAACACATGTAAGAAGTGAGATCAGTCTGCATGGTTGTTTTCTTGTCTAGTCACATTGAGCTCCTACTTGCAGATACAGGCTAGTTTAAATGTTGGACTTAGTCAGAGCCTGGGTGCTGCCAGGCAGTCATGTTGCTAGTGTTGTTACATTCAGAGCCTGTGCCCTGGCAGCCTTAACAAGATATGCTCAGCCATCAGCCCTCAGTGGGCCAATTAAACAGACAATAATGAAAAGCAAAACAAGGGTATCTGTTCATTGTGACCACACTGGGAAGAGGAACAAGTAAAGGGAGCCAAGGATCTTTCTCACTCACCATCAGTCCATCTTTAGGCACCTGACCTGAGGCTGATATTAAATAAGTGCAGCCCTGCTAAGGTGTTGTCCAACACATCATTGACCCATTCTTGTCTTGGCTCTGTCTCTCCTACAAGGTGTCATCACAACTTGTCAAAATTGTGTGAAATCTCTTTCCAAGAGACATGCTCCTCCTCTGTCTGAGATCAGGCTTCAGCCTTGTGTTCTCAACTAGAGATTCCTGGGGAAATTTCTAATTCCTAGGGGTCCATGCCTTGGCATCCTGATACGAAGACTCACACATGTCTCTCTTTAGTCATCCCTCCCACCATGGTTATTATAGGGACAGAATGATATAGGAGCATGAACAATAGATGAAAAGGAGTCATTTGAGTAATGGTGCGTAAATACCAGCTAATAAAGGACAAGCAGACAAAGGAGAGGTGATATAAATTTAAATTGTTTTCTTTAACTTGCCCTCATTATGGTGGAAGCCAACATGATGTCCAAGCTTAGTGGAATGGGTAGTCCAGAAAAATTAAAAGCAGAAACCATACTTTAAAATAAATATTTACAAAATAGTATTATAATTGCTAATGGCAAGGGGGAGAAAAGGATAACTAAAAGCATAAATGTCATAGGGATGAGAGGCAGGCTCGCATGGATGCTTTAGTGGCCAGAAATGGTAGCAGATATTGGGGTGGATTGATAACTATGGACCTTATGGGGACATCAACGGACAACTCTGTGCAATGGATTGTCTTCTTTCAGATATTTGTGGGTTCTGGGGATCAGAATTAGTTGCCAGCCCTGTGAGGCAATCACCTTTATCACCTCGAATCATCTTGACAATGCAAAAATCAAATTTCTAATTAAAGACAAATGTGAGGGTATTGTTCACATCCATCTCCTTTGGATAAGAGTCTTACATTCCTCTTCCTTCCCCAAAATGAAAAATCCCCTGAGCCTGCAGCAACTAGCTTCTCAACAGTTCATGTTTCTGTGAGAAGTGGACACTGTTAGGGCTGTAGGAGATGATGATGATAACGGGCTGGCTGTTCAAGCGGAAGGACTTGACTGGAATCTGAAGCAGCCAATAAAAAGCCAGGCATGGTGGCATGTGTTTGTGTACCAGGATAGGCTCCCAGGGGCTTGCTGGCCAGCTAGCCTAGCCCAGTCAATGGTAAGCTCCAGGTCCTAGTGACAGAGTCTGTCTCAGTGATTGAAGAAAGGACACTTTTGGTTACACACACACACACACACAAACACACACACACACACACACACTCACACATAC